CCTTGGAGACCCTGTGGGCAGTTCCACTCTGTCCTCTAGGGGCGCTGTGGGTCAGAATGGACTCCAGGCAGTGGGTGTGGTTTGGGCTTTGCTTCTATAAAGACTGACAGTCTTGGAGACCCTGTGGGCAGTTCCACTCTGTCCTCTAGGGGCGCTGTGGGTCAGAATGGACTCCAGTGCAGTGGGTGTGGTTTGGGCTTTGCTTCTGTAAAGCTTGACAGCCTTGGAGACCCTGTGGACAGTTCCACTCTGTCCTCTAGGGGCGCTGTGGGTCAGAATGGACTCCACAGCAGTGGGTGTGGTTTGGGCTTTGCTTCTGTGAAGATTGACAGCCTTGGAGACCCTGTGGGCAGTTCCACTCTGTCTTCTAGGGGTGTTGTGGGTTGGAATGGACAATGGTGGTGGGGTTGACTTTTGTTCTGACGGCGTGCACAACATTGTGAGCGAGCTGAGCGCCACTGAGCTGCACCCTTGTAAATGGCAAATTGTGTGTTATGTGAACTTTGCCTCCATTAAAGCAGAACACACACACACCTGGTTTGGTGTCCACAGCAGGCAGCTGGAAGCTAAGAGAACAGGTCTGAGCTGTGTAGCACAGACCACTGGGGTGGGGAGAAGGGCCCCAAGGCAGGGTTTTCAGGCCCTTCCCCGCCTGGGCCATCTCTGGGGGTGTTCTCAGAGGGCCTCATGTATGGTGGTGCCACACGGAGCTGAGAGCAGGTCCCTGGCCCCCATCTCTAGCTCTTATCTGTGTCACATGGAGGCCCAGCTGCCACACGCAGAGGGCCTTTCTCAGCACCCCTGCAGCCCAGTGTGGCAGTGGCTCTAGTGCTGGGAGTTCCAGGGCTGATAACAGAAACAAAAGGAAGGGAATCTCATGCCTGGGAACACAGAAATAGGACACAGTCCCCTGCCCACTGGCCCTCCTTCCCCAGCAGGACGCGCACCTCGGCTTCCCCTGTGCCAGAAGGACAAGGCACCGGACACCCCAGATGTCCCCACAGTGCTTGCATGAGTGAGGGACCCTCGGAAAACCCAAAGCCTTGTCCTCTGCCCATCAGCCAAGGCACCATGGCCCAAGGCACGCTTTGCCCCCTTGAGCAGAAGCCAGACGCAGAGCCACCTCCTTGAGAGAATCTCCCACAAAGGAGAAGCTGAACACCGAGGGTGGAAGACGCCAATGGCAGGGAACCCCGGCTCCGACAGCTCACATTCCCTTGGGGTGGGATGTACCCCCTGATGCTGCTCCCTGTCCTGTCCTGGCCAACTGTTGTCACCGCCCACGTTCTTACTGCTTCCCTCAAACCAGGCCACACTTTGCTGCTCCTGGAAGCCAGGCTCTTCCAGGGGCCCTGGTGCAAGTGCGCCGCTGCAGACCCCACACCGCCGGGGCAGCGGGACCTCCTCCCAGGTAGGCCCCCTGGAAGACCACTGCCATCGTCCCAGCGCAGGCTCAGGGCCGCGGTGCACACACAGGTGGGACTGAGCCCAAGGTCCAAACACAACATGCAGCCGGACCCAGCACGTCCCTGGAGGGCACGCGAGCTCAGCCCAGCGGCCGGGCCGAGGAGGAGACGAGCCTCACCTGGCGGCATCGAAGCTGTCGTAGGAGCCGACCGTGTAGTGCCGGAAGAGCTTCTTGCTGCGGTCTGCACGGGTCTCTGTACAGAGGGAAGACAGAGACGGTTTAGAACGGTGGTGGGCTGGCACAGGAGCAGACCAGCCCGGGAATGACAGGACTCACAGAGCGTGGGCCACCCAGCTGGGGAGATCTGGGAGGAGGATGAGGCCTTGATCTGGGGCCTGGCTTTGCAAAAGCTGGGAAACACATGGCGCCCAAGGCTGACCGCTAGGGAGTGAGGACCTGCGTTCAAAGTGGAGGCAGGGCCCCGGGTCCCTGGTGCCCAGGGCAGGCGCAGGAGGCACTCTGCTCAGGAGGAATGGCACTGGCCGCTGGAAGCGACAACGCCAGCCCGCGTGGCACCAGGCCCTGGACCTTCTGACGGCATGCTGCCGAGCCCGCGGCTCTGAGAACCTGCAGGTGGCGGCCTTTCGGAGAAAGAAGTGATGCTTACTGTTATTGCCCCTAAAAAAAAGAGTAAATAAAACACTACACCAACGCGATTAGCATCCCTAAGTAAGTCTGCTGGCTTTCCCTGCTCAACAGATTTAGTCACAAACTTCCTGGAAATGACATGAGTGGTGGAATTAGACTGCATAGACAGCTCAGGGCTGGAGGGAAGGGGAACAAAAACCCAAACCCAAACATCAGAAAAACAGCGGCTCCTGGTTTATCGTTTAGTTTATCCCCAAACACAATTTCCTGCACTGTCTCCTTCCTCAACCCTGCAAAAAACATGCAGAGTGGATACGCTGGGATCAGGAGCCTGAAAGACCTAGTTTAAGCTCCGATTGTCCTCTGCTATCTGTCTCCCTGACCCCAAATTCCCAGAGAACACCTTTACTCAAGCCTCAGAGGACATATGTGAATTCAGGAGCGAGCGCACGTAGGGAGCCGAGACGGGCCAGTGGCTCTTGGCGCCTCTCACACCCACGAAGCTGTTCAGTGAAGGGGCGCCCTCTGGTCTGTGTGGTGGGGAGCTGAGGTTCAGTCGAGGACTCCATTTCCCAGTGCCCTTGTACCAGGTGTGGCCATGTGACCTACTCCCACCAATGGGCTGTGAGCTCGGAAGTGGGTGTGCCCTTGTACCAGGTGTGGCCATGTGACCTACTCCCACCAATGGGCTGTGAGCTCGGAAGTGGGGACTGTTACAAACTTGACTGCACTGCTGCTGTGTTTGTTAGGCGCTGCTGACCTAACACGTTGGCCCCACGCACGAGAGGATGAAACACAGCCCAGCGCCAGGCCCTTGTCACGACCGTTGGTGGGCAGAGTCCTCTGCTGCAGCCACTGTGTCCGAACGCCCTCCCGCCCAGGGATGCCCTGTGTTAGACAGAGTCCTACTGTGTCCCAGGTGGTTTCCTGGCTCATTTCTGCAGATGGGTCAGCAGGCCTTCCCTTCTACTGCTTCAGTCTGGAAGCTCCACTGGAACCTGTGACCTGCTGGTATTTGAAAAACAGTGGCGACTCTTCCAGCATGACAGCCACGCCTAAGCCAGCCCAGTATGCCACAGTGACGGACGGGTGGGGGTCCACCGCCTTACAAGGCCCCACTGGGACTTACTCTAACAGCTGGCGTCGCCTTAGCTGACGTGCGGAGCAGACAGGCCTCTGGACTGGCCCAGCCTTTCTCCAACTCCCCCCATACCTGAGCCTCCAACAACTCCCTGAACCCCGTCAACATCACCACCATCCCCACTGACACGAACTGAGGGTTTACCGTGTGCAGGTGCTGCTCTAGACATGACATACACTTGTTCACATGACCCCACACCTGCCCCCAAATGGGGTACAGGCACTGCTCAAGGTGCCCCCTGAGGTCCCCGGCCACGGTCCCCTCAGCACTTCTTGTGTGGGGTGCGTCATCTCCCAGGTGCCCCCTCAGGTCCCCGGCCGCGGTCCCCTCAGCACTTCTTGTGTGGGGT